CCTACTTGTGACTGGGGCAAGATTGAACACACGAGAATTCTCCTTCTCTAAGAGGGTAATCCAGGCATGGAATTCTCTACCCGCATACACTTTCATGTCCCCATCTGTGGACACGTTTAAGATGCAGTTGGATCAGCATAGTAAAAGACATTATCTGTAATGAAGCGAGCTCATTATATTGCAGTCTAACTTTTTGTTATAAAAAACATACTGCTCGCTACTTTTCAGTAATATGTTTGTTTAGAATAACTACCGACGATCGTGGTGTGCTCCCGTGTTTCGTCATCTGGTCGGCTGACCCGTCAACCAGCAAGGGCGTATGATGGGCGCATCTCCGACACTCGGCGATGTTCTCGTGACCTCCGCGATCTTCCCCTCGTATGACCCTTAGGATATTGAAAAAACCGTGATGGCCTCCTCTTGACATGCTTCAAACACTTTCAGCAGCAGGGCATCCGATTTACATATATCCTTCACCTCCCCTCCTCCACGGGCGACAGTTTTTCTCCTTAAAATCCCACAGATGGCATTCAAAGCCAGACTTATGAACAATGCCTAAGCAGTTTTCTTACTGTCAGTTCCATTACTGGCAACGCAACACGTCCTGCATCATACCCGTTCTGTACAAAGAGGGAGTTCAGAAGTATTTACCTATATTTCCCTAATGAAACCTGACCTGCTCTATCACTGGACCAGGGAATCGTTGTCCTTGTTGGTACTATCGAAGAGGTGGACCGGGCTCTAATTAGCGCATGATACGGTTAATCAAGCAGCCACAGGTGCGCCCAAAGATCTGCAATAGCTTAAATGCGACGGCAGACACAGTATCGTCAGGCGGCCCACCATAAATCAACAAAAGCCTGAGTTCTTGGTGAACTTAAGCGGCAAACGGCCTGGCTGTGGGCGGTGAAAACTACTATATTTTGTCAAAACAACCGCAAAGCCACCTTGTGGTTTCAACGCCTGTGACAGACCTGATTGGTGAAGCACAACCTCCGCTTCCTGTTCCTTCATGGAGGAAGCTTAGCCGGTTTTAAATAATCAAGGCGCTCACTATTCTCTCCCCAGCGCTGCAAATAACGGAAGAAGCGACTTAGTTCTACAAGGAGTACCTTCTCAAATACCTCCGACGTTGGAAAATCCCTTCCGCGTCACAGGAATTCCCTGCTCCGTTGGCAGTACTAATTGATGAGCTGTGTGGGGATCTGCTTAAGAAGACCCAGCTTTGTCTATACTTCTTATAAATACGTCACGATAGAGGCCCCAGTATGTTGCCCTCACTTTTCACACACACCCTTACATTTTCGTCTGGTGATTGGCGTCAGGAAAAAGGATAGATTTTGGAGAAGCACAATATAATTACTCTAATAAAGTATGAGAGGGAGAGAGATAGAGAGTCAGAGCATAAAATATAAGCCGCATAAAAAACGAGTTCGGTTGGTTTGCTCCAGTGGAGC